TAACTCCTCAGCTCTGGGCACGCTACCCAGGAGACGCTGGCACGTTTCAGGAATGTTTGCAGAAATCTCATGAGCATGACGAAAATAAAAAAGGGTAGTAAACACTTGACAGCCCTAAATCCAAGCGGAAGAAGGAGGATTTAAAAACAGAAAAAAAAAAGTCAACAAAACTTAGAACAACAATGAAAGCGTGGAAGAAAATCTACCCTCCCTCGCCAGGGCTTTCCTGAGGCATAAATCTCTTCAGCTCTGTCAGAAAGCCTCGAGGGCAGGGCAAGAGGAGGAGCAAGACTAAAACTGGCCTTTCGTAAAGCCCACACAGGGCATCGGAAGGGAGGAAAACCATCGCCTAGCGGAGACGAGCAGGAGGACGGCCGGCCTTACCTTGGGCATCCATTGCACTTTTACCAGTGCTCAATTCTTTGGTGCCGGCACCCGACAGGGCCTCCGGCCTCGCCGTTGCAGATTCATAGCAGGAGATTGCACCCACGCCATTCCCCGGGAAGAGGCGTGCCGGCGCGGGACCCTCCCTTCTGCACCCGAGGGCTGGCTGCCCCGCGGCCCCAGAGAGCTCGCGCCCTCAGCCATCCGCCAGAGCCTGCGACAGCAGCGGAGGCCAACCGGCGCCTGCGCGCTCCTGCAGCCCGACCCCGGCGCTGCCGGGCAACCTGGGCCGTCCCGGGGAAGCGTCCAACTTACTGTGGTTTTCCAAAAGCTGCGCACGTCAGTTCAAGCGGCTCCCCTTCCCTCGTGAGGCCTTGCACCGGGTAATTCTGAGAAACCCGCACTTGAGGCTTATCTGCAGGAGAAAAACATCATCCCGTAAGCGGTCGAGTCGAACCGGCTCGGCTGCGCGCGCCCGAAGCGAGAGGGGGTCGCCGGCGCCTTTTTTTGCGCTTTGCTGCGCCGGAGTTTATCTCTGAACCCGCTCAAGCTAAAAGGAACCCATTTGCCTTCACGCTGAGGCGAAACCAGAGGTATCTGCGATGGGTTTTATCGGACATCGTCTATCTGTGGCGTCCACGCGGGTTAACGGGTCGGGCTTTACAAGAGAGGCTCGTTAGAAACACAAAAACTGAAGTCACGGGCGCCGCTGCTCGTGTTTAAACAACAGAAGGTTTCATTTCGTCCACACGAAGCGCTTCTAAACCCTAAAATAAACACAGAGAGCGAAGGCTTTACGGTTAGGGAGCCAGCTCAGAACCACGCCGGTACGACCCTGCGGGGGGAAAAGCGCCAAAGCGCAAACCTGGAGTCCCCAATTAAAAAATTCATTACCTCCTCCAACTGAAACACGGATTAAAAACGCCACCTAAGCTGTAGCTAAAACGTTATCGGCACGAGAGATCAATTTAATGCTACCAATGCCATTAAGCCGTATATATTTTTCAGGAATTTACTCGACTGTAAAGAACAAAGGCAAAAAAATCAGCGTGCGTAAAGGTTGAAGCCATTTAAATGTTTCTGTTTCCTTGGAGAGCAACTGCTACCAAAAATACCGGCTTGCTGCATTTTATTAACCGTGTTTAACTCATTAACATGCTTCCTATGGAATAATAGAGATTAGGCAGAAAAAACCCCGTGTCAGGCTTTAACCAATTTAAACTCTCATAATTTTCAGTAATGGAATAAGCTACACGAGTAAATCCCCTCCCGAGATGAGGAGACCGCAAACATTTCATGAACTAATCCCCGTTACGGACGCTCCTCGCAGCTATGGAGCGCGGGCGTCTCCGCAGGCTGGGGACCGCGACGCTCTGGGGGTGCGGGGTCCCGGCCCCTCGGGAGGCGCG